GGGAGGAGTCGTCTACAACATAATCTATAGCTTCCCTATCTAACGCCCAACCAGCAAAGTTGTTTTATAATTCCATGGTGTTGCAACAGTTTTATTTTATTAGTATTTTTTAATTACTTCCAAAATGCTAATTGATTATATTAGATGATCGGTGAACATAATACAGTTGTAGGCAATAAAAGTGTTTTATAAATTTGTCATAGAAACGTTTATGAAATAAAATTAAAAAACCATTATAAAATAGTCAGGAAATTATCACAGAAACGTTTTTGCAACTAACTTATAAAACTTATTTTCCTATAAAATTAAATTGTTATGTAGCAGTTTTATAACACTTTTCTGCGAGATTTTTATGATAGTTATAAAACTATTTCAAGCTTTTTTTATAACTGTTTCCTGTAGCTTTAATGAAATTATTTTATTGGAATGGTTTTAGATACTATTTTATTTTCATTACCATATTGTCACTTCAATGATAATTTCTCAACTATTTTATAGTATGGTATATTAACTACAATTCAAAAACACTTATATAACTGTTATAAAATCAAATTGCTTTTGCTAATATATATTTGCTGCCACCAAGAATAAAATGCAGCATTTAAGAACAACCAGCTGACATCGATTCCTAATCACAGCTTTGAAAAATTCTTCAAAATTTTAGTTATGTTTAGTAAGAATATTTTTGTTTAGTTATTGGGACACCATCGATATCGTGGTGGAACTGAGATGTATTTATCTTGTTTTTTGTTCTTTCTGAAAGTCGAGATTTCATTCATTCTTAACCTAAACTTCTTTTACCTTATTATGTCATCTACAATACCCCTCGAGAAACCGTTAGTGGCTGCTATTTCCTGTATTGTACGTCTTTCTTATGTGAACCTATCATGTGTTAGAGGGAAAGTCAAAAGACGATGCACTAAAAAATTCAACCCAGCACGTTTATGCTGTCCACAGTGATGTGAACTGTCAGGAATATACCTGTACGTGCTTGTTTCTTTTCTAAATATTTCGTATTCTAACCCTCCATATTGGCTCCTCATTACCAAAACGTCAAGAAATGGTAGTTGTCCCTTTTTTTCTAACTCATATGTGAATTTTATTGATGAAGATCTATTATTTAAAATGGAAATAAAGTCGTCAATATTCGATTTTTTTGTATCGAATATCGCGAAAATATCATCCACATACCTTAACCAAATCCTAGGAAAATACTTCGACTTTTCTTTGGTTTCCATTTCAAATCTGCTCATGAACAGGTCTGTCAGGTAGGGGGACAAGGGTTTTCCCATGGCCCATGCCCATGGGAAAAAATAAATTTGGATAGGCAATATTGTGAAATTAATGTTGTTTTATATAAACATATATTGTAAAATAATAGATAAGGCAATATTGTAAAATTAATTTAGGTTGGTATGCCTGGATGGTTTACCTGTATGAGTTACCTTTATAGCATAAATATGATTAGCTCGCACTAGTCCTTAGTTTGAATCTTCCTCTTTGAGGATGATCAGTTGGTGATCGAAACACGTGTCGAGGTGTTAAAAATAACGATTTGGTGTTGGAAAAAACTCCAATAATATTCATGAGTTTTTGAAAAGATTTACCTTTGCTACTCCAGCAATGTGACTGTGTCAGGGCATATTGACGTCTAATTTATCATACAACAAATCAGACCTCGTAGCCAACAGACTTGTGTGCCATATAATTATCATAATGGGACGTGAAACATCAACACTCTTAGGAAATTTAGAAATATTCAACTATTTTTAGCATTAAATCACTCTAATCTGCAGTAAAAGACAGAGGATGAAACTTGTCAGCGTTCAATGGCTTTGCAACTGACCTCCTTGGGAAGCATGGTTGATCTGAGGATGTTTTTGTGAGGAATGGAAGCCATTGGCCTCACTAAGACAAACTTGTCCTTTAAGGACAGTTAAGTCCAGAATGCATTTGTGGCTCAGCCTAGCATCATTGATGATAACTATGGTGGGTCGAAACAGCGCGTGTTGAATCATAAATGCTTTGTGTACGGCTCTGATTTTCAGCAAACGACTCTCAGTTGAAATTTTCACTAGGATATTGAGTTGAGTTTACCCCCATTTGTAACTCCACCAGAAGTGAACGGAACATTCTATTCCATTTCTAACCCCACCAGAAGTAGGCGGGGCTCATGTCTTCAAAAAACTAAGAGGAGCTCACAACTCATATTTCGATTGCAATAGTTTATCGAACAAACTTGCAGTGACGCAGCCGATCAACCCGCCGATTCTCAGTTAGCAGTTGAAAGCAGCTCGATGTAAGTACCCACTACTATACTATTCATATCATATTGTATAATACTTTTTCATTCCACTCTGTTTCAGAACCATGTCTATGTTAAGAAAGGTATTGTTAACCTCTCTGAAACAGGTGAAGTTGGAGAAAGTGGGGCGTGGGAACGTGGTTGTCCATTAGGATATCGTCCTCCAAGAAGCTCGTGCCCCACTACAACCACTCAGAAGATGGCGGGTCCTGCCGTTGAGTCCTTTGTCAAGGACTTCAACCCAAATCATGAGATGCTGGAGGATGACCTGGAGAATGAACCACCGCTACTCTCCATTATGGGGTTTCAAATTTTGTCGTCGACTCCACCTTAGTACATTTGCTGCAGATTTACAACACGGATTTTGAGGAGTTACTGCCGGACTTATCATGGTACCACTCCTTGATGGGAGTGTTAGATTGTGACGACTTATATCGGAAGGGTATCCTCCACCGAGTTTGTTTTTCCAGATCAGTTCGGATAACGAGTTCGAGAGCCACAGGAAAAGAAAAAAAAACAGTGAAGAGCTGAAGAAGCCGGCGAAAAAGGTCAAGTCTATGACAAAGCTCTCATCCAGAAGGGCAGCAAGCCAGGTTCTTTTTGCAAGAAAGAAAAGTCAAAGTTAGTATTGTTCTTCAGTGAAGAATTATATTCCAGTGATGTTCTAATAAGTATAAAAATCTAGGCTGGTAGCACGAATTTTGTTCTATCAATTTTAATAGCCGTGAAACGGTTGGAAACAATTTAGATCCTTGGTGAGCACCAGTGGCTCAAGGAAGTCATTATCATCCACTTACTTATGTGAAACGATGTTTACTGCAGGGAACGAATAATTCATTACTCATTACATTATATTCTCAAGTTACCTTCCATAACAGTTTTATTTACATGAGAACTTTGAGTTGAAGTAATTTCTTATTCTATAAGAGCCCGTCACGATGGACATTGTTCACAGGTGAAGAAAATTGGACGATCTAACGCCACTTTCCTTCAATGGTGAGGTCATTTCATTTGGAACGGAGGTGAAATATCTTGGCATTGTCCTTGGTAAAATACTTACCTGGATCGCTCACTTGGAAAAAGTTTTACACAAAGCCAGACTGTTCCTATGGACATGTCGAAGGATTGGTGGGGTTTAGATTCCAAACAAATCTATTGTATTCATGTGATGATTATCAGACCAATGATTTCATATGGTGCAATTGTCTGGTGGCCGAAGGCTTTACAGAAAACGGCCCAGGCGAAGGTCTCTGGCTTACAGAGATAAGCTTGTCTGGCCATCAGTGGTGCCATCAGTACAACATCGTCATCGGCCATGGAGATCTTTCTAGAGTTACCTCCTCTCTTCATTTTTAGATTTGTGCACATTGCCAGTTGCACAAATCAATTTAATGCAGAGTGCAACAGACCGTTGGTTGACACTGAAAGTCAGGGCATTCTGGGAATGACCTCTGACTTTATGCCTCCAACTGTCAACTACGAACTGCTTTATAAAGTACTGTTCCCGAGTAGAGAGGAGTGAATCCTCCGGGAGAAGGAAATATTAAGATCAGATAGTTGTTGGTTCATAGATGGATCAAAAACACCTTCTGGTTCCGGTGCAGGTGTTTTCAGTCGCAGACCCAGGAGATAGATATCAACTTGCCTAGGAACCTATAGGAATGTATTTCAAGCGGAAATTTACGCTATTGAATTCTGTGCGGAGAGATTGGAAGAATTCAAACTCATACACAAGTCAATGAAAATATTCTCGCACAGTCAAGCGGCGTTGGAAGCTCTTGGCTCCTACCGAGCAACGTACCTGGTCTGGATTCCTGGCCATATTGGCCTGGAAGGCAATTGGACTGCTGACTCCCTTGCAAAGGAGGGTGCTGCAAGCAGCTTCATTGGACCAGAACCTGTCATTGTCATCGCTTTAGGCTTAGCCAAACAAAGATTGAACACCTGAATGCCAAGAAGATTTATGGACTTCTGGCAGAATCTTGCAGGATGGGCTCATTCCACACTTCGAAGCTTGATACCAAATAGTTGTTGGATTACAGTAGGGGTGAACTACGATGTCAAACAGGCCTTCTCACAGGTCAGTGTCATTTGAATCATCATATGCAGAGTGTGTGTCGCCTCTGTTTGGAAAATAATGAAACAGCAGAGGTTTTCTGGTTTTCAGAGTTTGGTAGAGCCGTATTCTTACCATCTGACCTGAAAGACCACTCACCATACAAAATAATCGGCTTTGTTAAGTAGCTGGGTGTATTTGGTCCAGTGTGAATAGGTGTGAGCCACAATAAACTTTTGCGGGTTGCGGTGAAGGCTCAAATAGACCTACTCACTTTGGACCTAACCTAACCTAGCTGAATAATTTTCAAAATCGAAAACTTTCAATGACACTTTTTTAAGGTAAACAGAGAAGAGAGAATAGCAACCGTTTGATATGATTTGCATTTGACAGGGGACGTGTCTACAACTGAGAATTTATGTGAACAATCCTTTGAAAAAAAATGATGATGATGGATGATATATCATATGGCGAAAATCTAATTGCACATCATCGCTATCTCAGAACGATAAGATACGCGATGTCAGTTAAACAAGACGTAATATGTATTTTTTGAAGCCTAATGGACCAATGTTTGCAGATGTGGATTATATTGAACAATTATACAAATATCGAAATGAAAACACCGTATGTGTGCCTGTGGATGAAATTATATTTTTTAGTGCTACTTGTTACAATTACTAGGAGTGTGCTATATAATCGTTAAATATTTGACAGGTTGAGCCGTTCAATAGTTTTGTAATACAGCCAGTAACGAATATGATCTTCTCAGTATCTGAAAAAAAAATACAAATTCACATGACAGGAAATGAAAAAAGATTGAGGTTTTTATGAATGAAATCTGTTTCAGTTCCCATATGAATGGAAAGGTTTGTTTGCAGGTGATTGACAATGTTTCATGATGAATTTCATTAGTTCGGACTTCCATTTTCTAATATGATATAAAATGATTAAAAGTCCTTGTAAACTAATAGAAACAAATGAACAAATATGAGAAATTAAAAAAAGTTGAGACATTCCAAACCAAGTTACTTTACGACGTTTCGATTGTTAGTTTCCGCTCCAACGGTTTAGTGGGAAAGGAATGTTTGGCGGGAGTTGGCCATTTTTCACTTGATTATGGGTTTCCATATGTTGCGTATCTCCACGCTAGCTTGGCTGAATACATTGTTAGATACCATGTATGCGACTTCTTTGAATTTCCTCCTAAACCAATGTTCCTCCCTGTGTATGATCTCAGCTTGGAATGCACTCGATGTTATGTTGATAGATTCAAACATGCTCTGCTATTCCTGATTTGCTAGTTTCCCGTCGCTGTGTGTGTTTCTTGTGCTCGACAATGCGAACATTCAATGGCCTCTTAGTTTCACCGATATAGGATTTTCCGCACTCACGGAGTATTCGATAAATGCAATTCTCGGAATCGCAGTTCGTGTTTGGTGGTTTGGTTTTCGTGAGGATGGTGTTTCCAAATCTGAAGCAAGTTCTGATGTTGTACTTGGACCCAATTATTCTTATGTTTTCCGATAACCGATAACTGATAACCAGTGCAAGCACTGGTTGCGAGGCTTCTCTTCCTTACGAGGCTCCTGCTGTCTTTCAGCCAAAGTCTGTTTCACCTTCACTTTGGAGTATCCATTACGTTGAAGATCATTTTTGATGATGTCTAGTTCCTTCTCGAGACCTTTCTTCGTATCACAGAGCCTCTTTTAGTCGATTGATGGTGGTTGGATTCGTGGTTCAGATACTGTCCCGTGTGAGTGGGTTTTCGGTAGGTATGTTTCCCACTTAGTGTCGGTCCTCTTCACCAATTCGTCTAAGAATGGCAATTCCTTGTGGACTTTCTTCTCCATTGTGAAAGTGATGGAAGATCTTACGCTGTTGATGTGTTTCAGGAAGGCGTCTAGTTAAGTATTCCCTCGGTTCCATATTATGAAGGTGTCGTCAACGTATCTCAACCAGACACGAGGTGTTTGTGGGCTTCTTCGATGACTAGCTTTTAAAATCATTCTATACACAGGATGTAACTAAATAAGTATGAAACATTTGAGGAGGTGATTCCTCATCGAAAAAAAGATACGATCTTTCATATGAAGAAATTTCATTGGAGCATCCAATGTTAAGATACAGCCCCTTAAAGGGGGTACATAAAAAGTGTATAACAATTTTTTTCACAAGCACTGAAAAACTTGGTAACGAAGGATTTTAGGAAAAAAAGTTATATGAAGTACTGGTGATATTTTGACCCCATCTATAAATTCCAGAGAGGAAAAGAGGAAGTCCAGGGACACCCTGTATATATATAGGAGAGGGATGTCGTTATTTCAGAAAGGCTCTTTACGCCAGTTTGTTTTTGGAAGAACATATCGTGGATAATCTAAGAATGAAGAATGATTCACTGATATTTGTGAATTTTTTTCCTATTTGGAAGATTGTCATTTTTTTGGGTATTATTTGCAATATATTCATGTGAAAATCAATATGATGGATTTATGAAATTATGAGAAGAACTTAATACAAATTATGAAACAACAACAAAAATTAGTTGGCGCTACGCGGCGACTTGATTGATTTCATTGGCGCATTAGCTTTTTCAGCTGCAGGAATGCTCAGAAAAACTCGCAGCACCACATCATCTGAAGATCTTGATCTGCCAATGTCCTCTCTCTCATGAAACAAAATGTAGGGTGTCTCCAGAGGCTCCAATAAACTCAAGACATCGCCAGAATATTCAGTAACACCAGTCCGTTTCGTCTTTATAAGACTTTTATATCCTTCAAAATATGAAATGGAAAAATAATTGGAATGATTTACCATCGTGAAAGTCTCGAGAGAAAGATCAAAAAACTTTCCTGCAGTTTGCTTGATTGGTCTTTTTGCTCTTTCCATCAAAGTGAGCAAACATTTCTTCGATCTATGGTCGTAGTTATACCATTCACTCTCGTATATTGCAGTTGTCAATGTATTGCTCTGAAATAAAAAATGTATAAACGATATTATTTGTTAATTCATGTACATCATTAGAGTTCGGCGCAAAATGGATATTCGAGTCAAAAAAGGGAAAAGGGAGAAGTCACAGGGAGCTGAATCCGGCGAATACGGTGGATGATGCATATGTATAAGTATGTATAAGTGATATTATTCGTTAATGATAAGAGTTCGGGACAAAATGGGTAGTCAAAAAAGGTAAAAATATATCAATCTTCTGAAACTTAATAATGTCCCATTGTGTCTACATCAAGTGTTTTTGAGTACTCATTTTCATTTCTCACATAACATTTAATGCAAGTTCTTTGATTCATTTTTGTCGATAGCACAAAATCGCTAAACACATAAAATATGCTAAACAGCTGGTGTGTACATATATTCGAGACAAGTGCACCAACATGAAAAAATAAAAAAAAACTAATCAAATGTACGTATTTTCAGAACAGTCCACTATAAATCAAAATCAATACAAAGTATTGCGAAGTGTGAATGAAATGAACAATACAAGCCAGGAAAAAAATGAATAGACGGTTTACGGACCGGAAACCCAACGTGAAGAAAGGATCTAGGTCAGGAGATATTTCTCTAGTTGCCTCATCACCTTTGATATTGTCTACCGCAGTCGTAGACGAAACGCTAGGTACGGAAACCTGCAGACCACGGTCAACAAATGCGGGAAATAGCTTTGACAGAGAAAGACTTATTGGTATGTATGAGATGAATACTATTTTCAACAATGTATATATTTTTAATTATAGAATAAATTCCATGATTACCTCTTCATAAAGCATTGTACCGTAGTAACAGTAAAGAAAAACTTGCATCAACATTGTCATTATGTAAATTACCATACCGAAAAATAAAATTGTAAACGGTTCAACCTGAAACGAATGAAATTATGTTAAATTTTATGCGATATTTAAACTGTGATTTGCATTTACTATTGAGAGTTGTAGACATGAAATACATATCACTACTATGCTGACAAATAATTGGGAGAAAATTACGGTAGAATATACTCTTTCTATATCCTTGGCATACCTGAAAATATAAAATAGATTATTATTTCAGATATAATTTGTTAATACTCACTGAAATATAGCATCGTAATGATCAATGGACTTGCATATGCTTTTGTAGATTCGGTTTTCTTTTACACCCTTCGAATCGAAATTATCATTTACTTTCTGTTCGATTCTTTCGTGTAGAAATTGTAGATCATTTTTCAATATTTTCACTTGAGTTGCAGACTGAAAAATCATTCCTACTATCAAAGTGTCCAGAGAAGCGTTGTCCAAAGCTCCAATCAACACACCTAAACAAACAAGATAAAAAAAATTGTCGTTGAAAATGTCCAAAATTTATGTTTCTGGCCGATATTTATAGATTTTTCACTGTTTTTTGAGGTTCGTAACCTTCCAGAATCTTAAAAAATAAAAGCTAAATCAATAGAGAATCTGCTGAAGTATAGTAAAGGGCAAATTTTACCCCGAAAAGTTACTACGTACTGGAAGTATTCATAAATTTTGCCTCCCAATTAAAAAAATCAAGTGAAAAAATTCAAATATCGATACTTAGCTTTCTTAAGCGGTTGACGTTTCGGAAAAGAGTTATTTTTCATTTTCTATACCTGAAATTTACAATAAAAATCTCGCCACAAACTGTGATAGCTCTAATTTCTTTTGAAACAGATTCTCTATTCATTTAAGATGAAAATCAGAGGTTGCATCTTTTGATGCAACCAACTGATCTTCAGTATTTCCCGTTTCAGTAAATGTTCACATTTATTTATTGTATCATTCTGGGAATAAAGACCTATTATTTTTTTTTACCGTAGTGTGCGCTGGTCAGGCCCTATCCCCCGAAGCCCCTATACATTCGGTAGGGCGCGCCAGCATTATCAACCAATGACCACTCCCCACACCGTGGGGTAAGTGATCATTGGGTCCGAGAATTATGTGCCCTGAGCAAGCGCAGTGAGCCAAGAATGACAGCCTTCTGCATCTGTGCGGCTAAGATTTCTGCCTTAGTGCGGCAAGCCGGTATGATTTTAAGATTCGAGAGTAGGGAGGACATCATTCCACCAAGGACTCCAATAATCAGAACGACCATCTTGACAGAGTGATCGGGATAGAGTCTGCGGAGTTCGAAGAGAAAATCTCGATATTTTATCCGTTTTTCCTCCTCTTTTCTGACGATATTCGTCTCGCCAGGAGCTGAAAACTCCACGACAAATATCGTTTTGCTCTGGTGATCGAGAAGGACTACATCAGGCTTATTAGCTTGTATGTGCCTGAGGGTGGGGTACGAATAAATACGGCACTTCTCGTTCCCCACAACGGATTCAATATCCCCCGGAGCGTAGGGCAATAGTCCCCGCATGATGCTCTTTTGAGATGGACCATTGCACATTTGTCTATCCCGAATTTCATACCGAAAGCATGCGTGTACTCTTCTACCACCCTCAAGGACTGATGGAGATCCTTTTCTCCAGAAGCATAAAGTTTAAGATCATCCATATAAAACAGATGGGTGACCTTGTGCCTCCGGTTTCCGGGGGTACCACAGCTATACCCTCGAGTATTTCTGAGCGCAACGGATAATGGCAATAGTGAGATGCAGAAGAGAAAGGGACTGAGGGAATCACCCTGAAATACACCCCTTCTGAAAGTGACCCACCCTGTTTGGACTCTTGCTTGACCAGATGTTATGGTGAAGCGAGTTCACCAAAGTGGTATCAGCTGTTCAATGCATCTCACTATGTTATCGGGTACCGCAAGACATCTGAGCAAATGCAAGATGAGCTCATGCGAAATTGTATCAAATGCCTTACGGTAATCGATCCAGGCCATAGAGAGCTTACGCTTATATTGTATCGAGTCGTGCGTCAGACATCTATCGATGAGCAGGTTCTCTTTACATATATTATTATTCTTATTATTATTTAGCTTTCATTTCATTAAAAAAAAGTAGAAATAATTGAATCCTTCACAAAAAAAAGTCTTTTTAAAGATATTTGTGGAATTTCGTAAGATTTCGAGGTGAAAAATTGGTTGAATATAAATATCAGAATTGTTAAGTTATAAAGACGTATAATAAGGTCATCATTGTGTTCGGCATGGGAAAATAAGAAACTGTACGAGACACAAAATCGGTTGGTGAAAAAAAAGTTGTTCTTTTTGGAGTTTACTTCCATAACATTTCAAAATTTACTTATTAAACGATTTTATCTCCAAAAAAGGATACACCGTGAAGTTAATTTCTTCTTCCTCTATGGCCGTTGCTTCTCAGTCGAGGGCATTTGGCCAGACTCCTGTCCATGGTTAACAGAAGCTTCGCCCGAGGGCACAGCTGTCTTGCTCGAGCCAATGCTGCCACCCTAAGTTTTCTCATTCACTTCATTTCTTTACTGGGGAGACGGCAGTCCTCTCTCAATATGACTTTCACAAACAATATATTATCGCACTGACGACCTCGTCGAATCCGTCGACATCCAGCCTGGTTACTGGCGCTGAGTTAGAAAAGGGTTGTTTATCAGCTCTTCGCCGTATTAGATGGTTGTTCAAATAATTCTATAAGATTGTTTAAAAAGGTGTGTCCGTGGTAATGAATCTACTTTGAATTGTAATATCTTGGTGAATGATTTTTCAATTTAATCGAAATAGGCGCGATTTGAAGCAAACATCTAGCCTGGTTACTGGCGCTGGGGGGTCACCAGTTCTTTCAAAAAAGTTACCAACAGAGTAAAAATGAAGACATTTGAGTGTGTTTGCGTGAGAAGTGAAAACTGTATTCACGATATTCATTCAAGTGTTTTTGGACCTACAACACGTGTTTTGTTTTAGTCCGAATAAAATATATGTGAATATACTGATTCAATATCAACACTCGTTCTTTCATAACTTCTACTTATTATATACGAGCGCTTTCGACAGGAGATTGTGGTATCATCTTCATGGCTCTACTCAACCTGAATGTTTTATCTTCTTGTTTGTTCTCTCATACGGTTAGATCACCTTAGTGAATTTGTTATTGTTGTTGATGGTTCATTAATAAGGGCTTGGGCAGGTATTTGTTGTCCCCTTCCATCCGGATGTCTCATCGAATTTGCCTGTACTTTGGGTGATATAATCCAAAAAAAAGGGCAAGGACGAATACCTGCCCAAGCCCTGATTAATGAACCATCAACAACAATAACGAAATAGGAATTGGGATTTTTCTTTGACTTGTTCATTTCCATAGATTCAAAAAAATTCATCATTTTCTCTTTTTCACATGTGTTGAGTATTTTAAAATCATCTTTTTATGTTTATCTTTTTGTGTTTCGAATTTTGAAGTTGTTCATTAATGCTTTTTCATCCGAAATGACATGGTCCTAGTACCTTATATCAAAATTTCCACCAGTTTGGCCTATATATATGGCAGGGCATTCACCATATTCTAGTTGATATATACCAGATCTATTCCCATTGTCCAATTTAGGTTTGGCATTATATAATCTCTTTTCTAACTTTCCCTTGGATATGTAGAATGTTTGTGGAATGAATTTTGAAAGATAATTTTTAATATTCTTGGAGATTCTATCTGCATAATTGATACTAACACATTTGTGTTCTGGTCTTGTGGAAATTGAATATAGTTCTTTTATTACTGATTTTTGTTGATATTTCATTATAATTTTGTTAACTAGAGGAAAATTACTCTACTCACAACAGTTAATACTATTATTACTCTAGTTAACAGCATTGTACTGAAATATCAACAAAAATCTGTTTTTATAGTGTATCCTCTGTGAATATGGATTTCCACAATATAAACAAGTCGTCAATCAAAGAAATTACTGAATAATACTTTTTCCAGAATCAATGCTTGAATCATTTACTTACAGAAAAACAAGTAAACCAACACTCCTACGTAGATTCTAGTATCTTCGAATGCGTCAAAGGGCAGCCAAATTTCAAGCGGAAATCTCTTCTCCTCATAGAAGAAAATTTTTCCAAACCAAGTGACAAAACTCACACCAGATGCTGAAATCACCCCCAAAAATATAAAATTGTACTCTTTGATAGCGCTTTTGACAATACACTCCTGGTCTTGCCTGTACGAATTGAAGATTTCCTGGTTCAAAGCCTTCACTGTTCGTTTTATCGCCTCCGGATTACTCTTGAAAGGCCATAATTTCACCAGCAATGTTCCCAGTTGGGCTCCTAGAAAAGCACTGTCGCAAATTCTCTCCAGGGTTTTCTCTTCCATGAGGATGAAGTTGACTAGTATAAGAATAGGTGTTGGGATGGTGAAGATCAAGTAGAAGAAATTAGCGTAAATTTTGAAAATTTTCGGCCAGTTATTATACGGGTAGATTCCAACAATCTTCATTATCAGCAAGTTGTATCTCAAAGATCCTTCTATGATACTGTGAGAGGGCATTGTAGCAATTAATATGGAATGCGGAAAATGGAGGATATATAAGATCGGTTTCCATTATTTATTATCGCATATTCAGGAACGGCTTCTGATGATTTTGGATTTCCTATCTTCAAATTTGAATAGTACAAAGTGTTTATCAGATGTCATTGAAGTTTTTTATTCGTTTGAAAGACCTATTGATGCCATTATGTGTGGAATATAACAATGTTTAAATAATCGCCATGGCCGAAACATTCAATTTTCCATGACTCTGGCGCAAAAATTGGGCTGAATTTGACCGTTATGTATGCTTTGAGCACCACTGTGGTTTGTGGCTTATTCGGAAACACCAGCAACTGAAGGAACCCCCACATGGAAAAGTCTAACGGGGTCAAGTCGAAAGATTTCGGTGGCCAGTTCACATAACCTTCACGTGAGATGACCATGCCCTTAAATCGCTCGTGCAGAATATCCAGTGTAGCACGTAGCGTTGTCCTGTTGAAACAACATGTCGTTGGTGTCCAGATTATTCAAATCAGGCCAAAAGAAGTTGGTAATCATCAATCTATAGTGCTTGCCGTTGACAGTGATGGTCTGTCCAATGTCGTTCTCAACAAATATGGAGCGATGACGCCGCCAGCCCAAAATCCACACCAAACAGTGACTTCTTCGGGACGCATTGGACGCTCTTGGATCTCGTGTGGATTGGTATCGTCCTCAATTCAACAATTTTGTTTGTTCACGTACCCATTCATCCAGAAATGGGCCTCATCGCCGAAGATGATTTTTCTATAATTAGGGTAATTTGCTAACTACTCCAGAGCCCATTCAGCCACGTCGTTGTCTAAGGTCGTTTACCTTTAGTTCCTGGGTCAGTTGTACGAAACTATGACGCAAAATTCGCCAAATTGTGGTCTACGAAACGCCGAGTTCTAGTGAGCGACGTGAAATCGACTACCCTGAATTCTCGTGCACACTCTCACAGACAGCGGCGATGTCTCCGGCAGATTTTGCGTATTGACGACGTATGGGTGTTGGTCAATCGTTTACTGAACCAGTGGACACCCACCACTACGAAAATAGTCCTCTCGGTAGGATGATCATGGCGACCGTAAAATGGGCGACGCGCGCGGTACGTTGCTCGAACAGAACACCCATTTTGATGAAACAATTCCATCATTTGCATATGTTGTTGAATGCTATATTTGTCAATGGTGATTTGGCCAAACGACTGGATAAATGACAACTAATTTGACAGATGTAGTTTCAACGGAAGTCTTCGTTCGGAGAAATGGCTGGAAACTGAATATTGAGTGTGGAATGAGTAAGGATAAGAACGCTAATTTGTTAACGAAACAGTTTATTGCAACCTGAAAAGTGAATGAATATCATGAACCACATACTCATCAGCATCCCTATGTCAAGAGATGATTTTAATAAAAAAACTAATCCCATCTAGTGTTTCGCCATATTTTCGACAAAAAACTGGTCAAACAAGCCGTTAAAAAAGTATACCTTCACATCAAATATAATACTAACACTTTCAAAAAGACTGGCATTACAAGAAAGGCATAATAGACTACTAACTAAACGGAACATCAACATATCATACAAAACTGATAACACCTTAGGTAGACACGTGAGAAACAATAAATGCAACATCGAAAATGACAACAAATCAGGTATCTATAAGCTAAAGTGTGACTCGTGTCCAAAAGTTTATATTGGGAGAACATCTAAAAATTTCAAAACCGGAATCTCTGAACACAAGAACACAAGAAACTTGCTGGAATCCCCAGAAATTATTGAACGTAAACAATTCTATTGAACAACTAACAAGAAATTAATTTCTCACCACCGTTGAATGTATTTTCTTGAAAAATTTCTTAGAACTAGTCGAATCATGAGTAACACTATCTGCTTTGTAACTGCTGGAAACCTATTTTTATAATTACCAATCAGTAATATTCGTTAAATGAGATGGATTATCTGTATAAATTGTATTGTGACGTAGAGTAGGTCCAACTGAAGATGCTACTAAGTGGTGAAATGCGTATTGGAATTGAAGTCTATACTATGACTGTACTCAATTATTATCATGAATAGTGTTATTGATTTTCACCAAGTAACGAGTCAGTGTATTGAAACAATAGTAAAATGAAAAAAAAAGAAAAAAGTTTCTTCCACATTCACCTCCTTGAAATAACTGACTCCTCAACTTTTGTTTCGCTTTCTGTTACGCAATCCAAAATTTTACCAGATTAAGATTTGAAATTTTTTGTCGCTGAAGACGTGCATTGGCAGCTGATGTTCTGGCACAAAAAAAATAGATACGTGCGTTGTGGTGAGTATGGGTAGGGTGGTAAGTTTGGACATTGGACCAGCAATAGACATCGTTTTTCATAAAACTTACAGAAATGAGGAGTATATCAAGTAAAACATACCAAAACAGGTAGAGGTACGAAGAGATAATTAGATATTTTTCATAGGGATAGTAGCAAAATTCATGAAAATATTAAATTCACTATTGAAGTCGAAGCAGACAACTCAATCAATTTCTTGGACTTAACAATTAGTAGAATGAACAACAAACATGATTTTACAATTAATCACAAACCGTCCTATATGGATATTACTGCACATTACGATTCTAACCATCCTAATCAACAGCTTGTAATAGCATGATTCACAGATTAGTCAATGTTCCTCTTTCAATAGATAATTTCGATAAAGAACTTAATATTATCAAGCAAATTGTGGTAAACAATTGGTTTGAAGCCAAATTAATAAACAAAATACTTGCCAAGAAAGTCTACACAAAAGCGATTCAAGACGTGTTTCCCATTGATAAGGTAGATAATCAAAATTATAGAGCTGTAACGTATTTTGGATAACCAACGAAAAAAGTGGCTTCATTTTAAGGAAATGAGATATCAAAATTGCATATAGAACAAGTAATACGTTGGGAAAGTTAATTGAAAATAATAAAGATAAAACCTCCAAATCCGTGAGATCAGGAGTATATAAATCAAAGTATGGAACGTGTCCTAAGGTATATATTGGTCAAACTGGCAGAACATTTAGGAATCGAATCCAGGAACATCATATGAGCTATGTAAATAAGAAAACAAATTCAACATATTCAAATCATCTTTTAGAGGAAAATCATGTCTTATACGAAGAGTTTGAAATTTTACACATAGAAAATAAAGATTCGAAACTGAATCATTTGGAAGCAATGGACATTATTAAACTTAAAAATTCAATGAAACTCTAATGAATGACCAACTGGATTTGAATAGATCCCCACTATTGAACTTGTTTTCTTAGAAAAACCGAGAAAAAATTATTATTGATGTAGAAGTGGGGTAATATGCTTCAGGTTATCATAATTGAAGAGGTACTTCAGGTAGAGGTTCAGGTAATTTGTTTGAGGTAGTCTCACTTATGGTTACCTGTGGTTTATAAATATTAACGTAAGAAGCAACTTGTAGTATTCAAATCACTGTTGAAGAAGCTTCCCTGTTAGCGAAACATGTCGTGATATATTTTTCAAATAAAGTTTGTGGAGATCAAATCGTGAGTTGTAGTTCATGAAATAGTATAAGAAACTATCAGCAATATCAAATGCATCACGTTGATATAATGAATAATAAATAAATAGTGAATAAGTTAATAGTAACTTCAGTTATCCGATGTGATGTAGCGATTCTTGGAGTTTTCTTTCCAGGTTTCAAGAAAAATACCAGTACGGCCCTTATCATATCGTGGGATATTTGCGGTAAAGACGCTTTCATATTTATATCGAAAGATTAATTGGTTCTTCCCCGGCAATTAAAGAAAATTATAATTTGGTGACTGGTCATTATTTATACAATTGCTTGAAACATTCAACAAAGCAATTGTTCCGACTTCTTTGACTAATTTGATGGTGATTAATAATGATAAGAGAGTACGCGAATGATACAGGTTAATTGTAAACAGCATTTAGACTATTAATTAACGACTGAATTGATGGTACGAACAGAAATAAATTGAATATATGCATCCTTTTATCATTTTTTGTGAGGTTATTATTGAGTGGTAGGATATATTCCATGAGGTTATTATTGAGTGGTAGCATATCTTCCACGTCACTAACCGTATGTAATTTTCATAACAAATTTGAACTCGGTATTTTATCTACCTTCTCTCGAAACATTTTGTTGTATTTTTCAACCCCTATTGTTTTGGCCTGGATGATGCTGAAAAGTAATTATTTTCAAAATATGACGCCAATAGAGGACTATCTTTATATGTAGAGTAGGGAGGTAAGCCCACAGCACTTAGGCCACATGTGACCCATTGTACGTCCTTCCGAGGATGTACAATCCTGTCTTTCCTGCCATCCTGCCTTTCCAGGAAGGTGGACACGTCACTGGGAGACACCTCCTTTATATCGGCAGGTGTAGTCCAAGACTCGCCAAACACACATTCTCTTATTGGTGATAATTCCGGGCACTCGCATAGGTCATGCCTGACAGTCTCATCTTTCTATTCACACATCCAGCATAAATGTTGGGTCCACTAGCCCCATATTATGGAGGTTTTTTCTCAGTTGACAGTGTCCAGTCAGAAAACCTACTGTTGAGAATAGACATTTTCTGGTCATCGTCAGATATTTCTTCGGCCCCAGCTTTCCAGGGCCGCCATCTCTTTAGGGATTGAACATGGGTGTAAAATTTGGCTAGTTCCGCAATTGTCGAAGTCATCACGCCATAGGTGCCACTGGGTGCTAAAATTCTTAGTCCAGCCGCTTCCTTGGTTGAAAAGTCGGCAATGCGATTACCTTTACTCCCGTCGTGCCCTTTAACCCACCTCAGGATAACGTTATCATCTACCGAGGCTCTGGCTGAATCTTGGCACTCTAGTACTAGCCCTTAGGTAACACGTTGTCTGTTCAAGGCTAATAGGGCTTGTCTGCTGTCAGTGCAGATTGTTATGTTTTTGCCAGATAGTCCTTTTCTGGTTATTTCTTTTGTGGCGATTCAGATACCAGACAGTTCTGTTTGGACCACGCTTGTGTTTTTTTCCATTCCCCACTCAATCTTTAGGCTAAGTGATCTGGAGTATACTCCACATACTGAGCCTTCTTTGGTCTTTAAACCGTCTGAATATACACGTATTGCATTTGTAGCACCTGACTCTGTGTTCTGTTTTGTTTGTATTTTGTAGGGTTTATTGAACACAAACCTGAGATCAATTGCATCACTGGTTGCCTACATCAGAGATCGTGCAGTAATCGCTTTTCGCCATAGGCTCAGCCTCAATTGACCCATTCCCAATAGAGGACTAATAACATAGTTTCAAGTTTCAAATTCATAGCTATTATACATAAGATTTCATCAATATTTTGTCACTTGATTTTATTTTACTACATTTTCATGGCTCCATTTCAAAAATCTTGTTTTTTATACTGATTTTAACGCTATATTCCCAATTGTAACTTTTTTACCTCTCACCAACAAACTGAACATGCTGATCAGCTGAAACTGTAAAGTTATGTTCGAGACAAGTATATCATATAAAAAACATTGCTTATCGAATGTATGCAGCCCAAGAAATTTGAAACTTAACCTTATTTTTTGAACAAACCCCGTATATCGTTTCCTTCTGGACATAATTTGAATTTGCCATTGATTGATTGCTTCATGAAATGACGAGATGGCTCTGATCTTTTGTTGTATTGCCAGCAGCTAAGATCTCAGATGTGTATTTAATGTACGATGAATTTTCTTATCCTCAAAAGTTACGTCTTTCACTATTACAAAATGTGAAAGATGAAGATTCAAGAGCGTCTACAATGCAGCTGTTAGTGTGGTTTTCATTGCACTCGTTATTACCAAATAAGCAAGTTTTTGCACCTTGCTTAGGTTGTTAATATATGATCGTTAGCCATTAACACTTGATCAGAAATGCACATGTCATCAGATGTGTTACCAACATAGTATAGAGACAGCACATCATATCTGGTTTCAACCCCCATATCTTTCTGTAAGTGAGTCAGGGCCATCTACGTCTTTTCTTTCTCTTCTTCATAGGTGTCGTTTTCTGGTCAGCCTGGAGTCTAGTATTACTTCAGATATTTGACTTCCGCCTACTGATTTGTCATTAACCTCGAGGGCTCTTCGTGTTGGTCCTATAGGTAAATGCTACTATGGTGTATTCAAATGGACTTATGTTTAGCCTTTATTCCACGGTCCATCCAGTTATAATATTCAAGTCCTGCTGTATACATATGTCTTCTCACAATATTATTGTATGTGCCTTAGACTAGCATGACTAAGTCGTCTGAATAGTCCAGCACTTTATATACATCATGATTTAGAAGACGTAGTAGTTCGTTACAATGTTCCATAACAGTGGGGATCAAACCACCTCTGATAACAACGCTTCGTCATCCGTGACACTGCTGTTTCTCCTATAATGGCTGTGTCTACCAATCTTCATCTTAGCATACGTTTCATCCACCTGCAGCTTGTATAGTCGATGCCTGATTGATTTGATTTCAGGGAAGGATTTTCATATGCGCCTGAAAGTACTTCCTTGTGAGGTTGACATTCCTGTGGGCATATTGATTTCAATGCAGTGGTCTATTATTCAGATTGCTTTGTCTCAAATGGCATGAGCCTGATTGGTTTCAAGGTGTTAGCCAAAAATACCGAAAATGAATCTTATCCACATATATTGCACAACATGAGAAAGTAAAATATGTCATTTCAACCTCACAGAAACTTTTTTTTCTAGAAATATTATCTTTTATAAAAAAAGTAACTCCATTGGTTTGGAACAACTTTGTAATTACACTCAATATTTATGTACATTAGTTTCCATTCTTAACACTATCGCATATTTTTCAAAACACGTTTTGCGGATATAAATTGCAATAACAATTATTACTGACTCTCATGAGGAACATCATAAGTCAATAGTTAATGAAAGAACATATTTCAGTTGGCGAATCAAGCGAGTCCTGTTTATTGACTTTTTGGCATCTCAAAGACTAGGAAGAATTCATTCGGAATCACTAATTGTGAAAATTTACGAAATTATTCAAAGCCATCACTGCTTACGCCTATGCTATGAAATTATAAAAAAATATACAAATTGGTGAGTTGCAGAACTTATTCATAGCGAAATTATCATTATAACGATTTAAAGTGATGGATATAGCCGTTACTACGTGGTAGGTAATCATAATGAAGAAAAGAAAATTGAAACTTTCTATGTTTTTTACCACCCTATGGTTTGCAACCCTTCCTTGCATAGGGCAAAATTTCCGTATCGTTTAGATTCGGGAAATTGTGGTTGCATGTAAAGGAATGCAAAGGAATCATTTTTACCTAGTCTGAAGGACCTTTCATGTTCAGCATACCGTTTTTGAAAATTTCGACCACATTGTCCCACACAAACACTATTCCACTTCGGACACTTAAGCTTATAAAATCCAGATGTCTCCAACTTGTCCACTTTATCTTTGGCATTGAAAAGGAAATAAAGTTGGAGAAATCTGGAGTTTATGAGCTTAAGTGTCCAGAGGGTAATAGTGTTTATGTGGGACAATGTGGTAGAAATTTCCTAAAACGGTTTGCTGAACATGAAAGGTCCTTCAGACAAGGTAAAAATGATTCGACGTTCTCAAACCATTCCTTGGCATGCAACCACAAGTTCCTGAATCTGAACGATACGGAAATTTTGCACTATGCAAGGAAGGGTTACAAACTCAATTATTTGGAATCCTTGAAAATTCACGAGCATAAACAATGCGGGTGCAACCTGTTAAATGATCAAATCGATTTAGTTTACTCACCGGTTTTTAAAATAGCATATCCACATTGTCACTAGTAAACGAAATTCAGGTACTCAATCAAGCTAAGTACCTCTATTATTACCTACAGTGGTATTGTATAAGGGCTAATGTAATCAGTTATTGTTAGTTTAATGTATAAGTTTGAAAATGTCCTTATAGAACGAAACTACAGTAACATTAGTTACAAATAGAAGTGGAAAGTTTCAATTCTCTTTTCTTCATTATATCGAATTTTTGCTACCAAATATTTATGGCAATCTCAAAACTGTGACTGACTAATTGACAAATTATTAAATTTCCCAAACTACTCCTAAACGATTTGATCTCCACAGACTTTATTGAAAAAATATATCACAACATGTTTCGCTAAACATTAGCTTTTTCAAGTGATCAATCACAGTGATTAAAAATATATCACAACATGTTTCGCTAAACATTAACTTTTTCAAGTGAAAAATCACAGTGTTTGTTTGAAGGTGATTGACAATGTTTCATGATGAATTTCACTAGTTCGGACTTCCATTGTCTACTATATAAAATGATTTGAAATCCCTGAAACAAGTAAAAAATAATAATTAAAAATGAATAGCTGAAAATGGCAATTACATTAAGCAACAATAAACCTGAAATGAAATGATAGTGAAATAACCTACAAGTAGAAATATAATAATTGAATAAATAAAATTAAAGGAATGATAAAAGAAAATAATAAAAAAAGTGTAGAGATTTTAAGTCACGTTAGTTCACGATGTTTCTATTGTTGGTATCTACAATCGTCTTCGGGTGATGACTGGACTGATTCCTCCGAGAGATGACTATTTAATAGGTCGTTGAAATACTTTCACTTTCTCTGCTTTCCATTATAGTCATCTCTCGGAGGAATCAGTCCAGTCATCACCCGAAGACGATTGTAGATACCAACAATCGAAACGTCGTGAACTAACGTGACTTGGAATCTCTACACTTTTTTTATTATTTTCTTTTTTCATTCCTTCAATTTTATTTATTCAATTATTATATTTTTACTTGTAGGTTATTTCACTATCATTTCATTTCAGGTTTATTGTTGCTTAATATAATTGTTATTTTCAGCTATCCATTTTCAATTATTCTTTTTTACTTGTTTCAGGGATTTCAAATTATTTTATATAGTAGACAATGGAAGTCCGAACTAGTGAAAAATCACAGAGATTAATCACTTGAAAAAGCTAATGTTTAGCGAAACATGTTGTGATATAATTTTTCAATAAAGTTTGCGGAGATCAAATCGTTTAGGTGTACTTTGGGAAATTACTACGGATCTTCACCAAGTAACGGCCGAATCAATCAGAAAATTATTAAAAGTTCATGGAAAAATACTTTTTTCAAATCTAATCATTCAGACCACATTTTTAAAAGACTCTTCTTTCGAAGTATTTGAAAAAAGTGCAAACCTTACAAGTTGACATTTTTTTTCACTTTCAACTAATACTACCAATGAAGAAAATACCCAGTCAATGTTGGAAATAAATCTTTCTCCATTTAGCAAACTAAGTATTGAAAATGAAATATTTCTGAGATTCGTATTGAGTAGATATACGCTTTGATTTCGAAAATGAAAACGAATACTCTCAATATTTTTCACATTTCAGTATTATATTTTGCTTCAAATGAGCAGTGATGAATCTCAAAATAACTAATGAAGATTTTTCTTTGGATTTCTCAAACGGTAATTGTATAAGGAGGCGGGGCCATATTGGAAGGGGCTGATGGTGGTTCTCTGACCATTAAAGGGACTCTGTTGATGGTTACTTCGACTTGACTCTTGATGACGTCTTCATATTTTGGAGGAGGGTCCGCATCTGGAAGAATTTGGAAAAAAATCAGTGTATATTGAAAAATTCATCATCAGGTAGAAAGGTTCAATTGTAATATGTAGCAGAATGAAAATATCTCTATGACAGACACCAGAGCATTTCCCTTGGTGTTCATTCCATCAAACAAGTGGGCGGGTATTGATTCTTAAACTCAAACATAAATAATTCATAACCATCACTTCAACTTTAATTCATTTATCAATGATTTCTTGGTTACAAGTTACCGAAAAACTTTCCGCAAAGTTCCTTCAGACTTCTAAAAATGATCCTCTATTCTATACCGGTCAATGGGGAATGTTCCTCCTGACGAAAATCAAGTAGTTTTCATAAAAGAGCTCTAAAACAACGCATTTTAAACTTATCATTTCAACATTTTTCTTTAAAAAATTATTTAAATACTTAAAAAAGAGGAATGAAATAATGCATTCAACATTTAAAGGGATTCGTTTCTATTTCATCATTTAGCAACATCGGTTATAGCTAATAAAGGACAATGGATCTGTTACCTGTATGAGACAAACAAAGATGACATATTTCAGAGGCGTGCGGTTCTGTTTACTTATGTTCCGAGTTCCGAGACATTCTGTGACATGACATTTTGTACACCTAACCTATCTTCCTCTATATAAATAAATAACGGAACAACTGTTGTTTATGTGGCTTGTGGAGGTGGTATTGAACTTTAATTTATATTTTGCCCTTATTGTTGATTTATGAAGATAATTTTTCTTTTTTTTAAATAGAATATCTAGGTAACCTGAACTCCGATCTAACATTCTAGGCGCTGTTGCCAATATGTGAATTAGAAACAAATCCCTTTAAAAATCAAAACCCAACATTTGAAACATCAATTTGAATACTTTTCGAAGTAAATTTGAAAAACTCATGAATTAAACTCAATTTTATTTTGCTCAAACTTGCATTTGCTGTAATGACCCGAATGGAGGAACATTTCCCATTGGGGTGACATTGCTCTATTTTAAAATTTAAGTTGAAAATTTTCACATAACCTATTTTTTGATATCCTAGATGAAATTTGTACCTTTGGAAGGTGGTTTTTAGATGTGATTCATGGGATTATTTCATTTCTATATCATTTTCCCTCTTAAATAAAAAATTAAATATGGGTGGGCAAAGAGTCTGACTCTTCTGGACCTGTACGTTAATGGCCATGCTACGATTGAGTTCGGCTGGTGTAAACCTTGAAGTAGGAATGGGTCAATTGAGGCTGGGCCTATGGCGAGAACCGCCTACTGTGCAACCTCTGCTGCAGGCAGCCATTGATGCAATTGAACCCAGGTTTGTGTTCAATAAACCTTATAAAATACGAATAAAACAGAACACAGAGTCAGATGCTACAAATGCAATACGCACATATACAGACGGATCAAAAACCAAAGAAAGCTTAGGATGTGGAGTGTACTCCAGATCACTAAGCCTAAGGATTGAGTGGGAAATGGGAAAAAATACCAGCGTAGTTCAAACACAACTGGCTGGTATCTCAATAGCCACAAAAGAAATAAACAGGAAAGGAATTTCTGGCAAAAACATAACAATCTGCACTGACAGCAGACAAGCCCTATTAGCTTCGAACAGACGTGTTACCTCAGGGCTAGTACTAGAGTGCCACCAAGATTTAGCCAAAGCCTCGGTGGATAATAACATTATCCTCAGGTGGGTTAAAGGGCACGACAGGAGTAAAGGTAATCGCATTGCCGACTCTTTAGCCAAGGAAGCGGCTTGACTAGGAATTTTAGAACCCAACGGCACCTACGCCTCGACAATTGCGGAACGTCTCACCCATGCTCAATCCCTAAGGAGATGGGATGGAATCAAATGATACAATCTTGCCACGATTACTCTGAGTGACCCTGAGAAGCTGGCGCCGAAGAAACATCTGGCGATGACCAGGAAAAATCTACGCTTAACAGTAGGATTTCTGACTGACCACTGATATGGGGCTAGTGGACACATCTTTATGCAGGATGTGTGAACAGGAAGATGAGACTGTCAGGCATGTCCTATGCGAGCCCCCGGAGTTATCTTCAATAAGAGAGTGTGTGTTTGGAGAGTGTTGGCCTACACCTGCAGATTTAAAGGAGATGTCTCCCAGTGACCTGGCCACCTTACTGGAAAGGACAGGATGGACGATGAACAAGGAGGACAACTTCTTGGGAGGATGTACAATGGGTCACATGTGGCCTAAGGCTTACACTCACCCTCCCTACCCTACAGATATAGATACGGATGGGTGGGGAAAGTCACCTCGTGAAGTGGGGTCACTTTGCCCAACAGTTGTTTTCTTTGCATAACAAAGCTACGAATAAAAGCTGGGCAAATACGATACTGATAAGTCTGTAACCAGTGAAAATTGGCTGAGAATTGGTAACCTCCAAAAATAGTCTATAATATGACTATCCAAAAAACTGAGTCAAAGTTATCGATGCTTCCAACAAACTGGTTTTCAAATAACTGAATATAACAGTAGTTCTCAAAACTATTCGTTCACTTTGACAAGATTTACGAGTAGCTTACCCAAAAAACAAGATGATGTGAAACATATTTTTAAACAGATAATCTGGAAGGACTGTGGTTAAAAATATGTTTTTCAGATATGAACAGCTATAACACAGGTTTCAAAAAATGTTTGTTATAGAAGCCAATAAAATGTCGCTCAATACCTCTTGAAAAACAGCCATGTCCATTTATAAAATCTTCTATCGATGGAAGTCACAAAGTATCATTAAATAGAATAGCCGATACAAGTCTAGAGTATGTTTCATAACCTATCGTACCAATAAAGCGATAATAGTCTGGATAGTAGTCAAAATAACCACCCGAAATATAACCCCGAAATAACATCAATATTTATAAAATGATCCCATCTTGCGATTCGATCTTTATTCCACGTAATACGGCAACAAGTAATGTATGTTCAAGAATTGACGATGCGTTGTAAGTTACTCATTTACAAGAATGCGTTTCAAATCTTTGCCTTCCTTTGGCTGACTTTTATTGTGTTCAACTCCACGATATACTTACGCGTGTAAGGTGGTGGAGCCCCAGGAAAAATACCGGATTCCGTATCTACGTAAGTGGTATTAACAAACGAATCTGAGGAATTCCTCTCATGTCTTCGTGCAATTCTATCTGTAAAAAAATGTTCGACATCAGTTACAGGAAGATTTTGAGCAAAAGTAATGTTGATTGTCGAAAAACGCAAATGCAAACCTTTGATACTTATATAAGTGTGGCACCCCCGGAAACCGGAGGCACAAGGTCACCCATTTGTTTTATATGGATGATCTTAAACTTCATGCCTCAAGGACTGATGGAGGATCTCCATCAGTCCTTGAGGGTGGTGGAATAGTACACGCATGATATCGGTATGAAATTCGGGATAGACAAATGTGCAATGTTCCATCTCAAAAGAGGACGATGCGGGGACTACGGAGAGGATGTGCAGCTCGTAGATGGAAGCATCTTATACCATCTGGATGCCGGAGAGACGTATACTTACCTCGGGGTGAAACAAAGCCACTCACAAGAGATAACAGCAGTGAAAAACTCTCTCCGCGGCAAGTATCAGCACAAACTTCGACAGATCTGGTCATCGGAACTGTCGGGGAAAAACAAAGTTGCTTCAACAAATATGCTTGCCGTTCCAATCTTACTCTACTCGTTTGGAGTAGTGAAGTGGACTCGGGAGGAGCTGTATCAACTCGACGTAAAGACCCGAAAAATTATGCATTCTATAGGAGTTTGCATTCCAAATCGTCCGTTCCAGGGTTGTAGTTCTCCCGACAACAGGGAGGCCGTGAACTTTTGAGTTTGGAGTGTCTACATGACAGGGCAGCTGCCCGAGCAGCTGATGAACTCGGTATAGTTTTCGACACTGAACGAGGTGACCACAACTCTGTCACCGAGTTGGAACCCGTTCAGATAAAAGCCGCAGAGATCACTTTACTTCTGCGGAAACACAAGGATAAGCCAATGCATGGGGTCTTCTTCAATAACATTGGAGACCTTGGCTTATCAAAGCGCCTGACCTTCGCTTTTCTCAGGTCGAGTGGGCTGAGGTCGGAAACTGAGGGGTTCATCATGACTTGCCAGGATGGTGTCTTCAACACCTTAGTCTACCGGAGGCGCGTGACGGGTATGAGGTTTCTGACACAAGGTGCAGGGTCTACCGCGAGGCGCCCGAGACCCTAATGCACTTGCTATCAGTATGTCCAGCATATGCGGTCTCGGCCTATAGCCATCGACATAATGCGGCCCTAAGAGTGCTATAGTATCATCTACGGCACTCTTACGGTATTGACGAGACACCCGTTTTGCCCTACGCTCCGGGGAATATTGAATCCGTTGTGGAGAACGAGAAGTGCCGAATTTATTGTATGAGCCCTCAGGCTCATACAAGCTAATAAGCCTGATGTGGTCCTTTTCGACCACTAGAGCAAAACGATATTTGTCGTGGAGTTTTCAGCTCCTGGCGAGACGAATAGGGTCAGAAAAGAGAAGGAGAAACGGATAAAATATCGAGATTTTCTCTTCGAACTCCGCAGACTCTATCCAGATCACTTTATTGTTCTGATTATTGGAGTCCTTGGTGGAATGATGTCCTCTCTACTCTCGAATCTTAAAATCATACCGGCTTGCCGCACTTACGCAGAAATCTTAGCCTCACAGATGCAGAAGGCTGTTATTTTTGGCTCACTGCGCTTGCTTGGGACACATGATTCTCGGACCCAATGATCACGGTGTGGGAAGTAGTCATTGTTTGATAATGCTGGCGCACCCTCATGAATGTATCGGGGCTTCGGGAGATATGGCCTGACCAGCGCACACTACGGTGGAAAAAAAAATTATAATAATAATAATTATAATATATTTATTGCCATGGCACATATGAATAAATGAGTAAATACTTGAAATAACATCAAAATTACAAGTAAAATGTAAAAATATATATCATTACTTATTGTACGTTCATTTGTGGCTGTTACAAAAATAGAAGAAAGTATGCATATACAACTCATACATTACACTTTACAGAAATTTTAAAATTCGTCAAGTGAATATAGGGGTTTTTCAGTCAGATAGTCCTTCAAAGTTCATTTGAAGATACTCATGATATTAATTTCTTTGAAATGTGGAGGCAGTGCATTATATATTTTTATACAGTTATAGTAGTGACCTTTCTCGAATAGACTTGTTCTATGTAGTGGAATGCGTAGATGTTTACTTCCTCTTGTTACCATATTTTTCAGCGAATATTGCAATATTATATATATAGGCACAATGAACAGTCATAATTCCTAAATCAGAAAATAATTGTCTGCAAGAGGTATCATTTTTCAGGTTAAGCATAGTTCTTATGATTTTTTTGTGATAGATGAATATATCCTTGGATGTTGGTGCATGATACCAAAGTATTACGCTATAATCAATCACCGAATGGACATAAGCAAAATAAAACATTTTGATATTGTTAATACTAATGTGATCCCTGAGGTATCTCATGACACAACAAGCTGACGTTAATTTACCCATTACTGCTCTTACCTGATCAGTCCAACGCAATTCTTTATCTATCATAATACCTAAAAATTTGAAGGAAAATGTTTCATCTATTTCGGAATTGTCTATATTGATATGTAGTGGGGCTTCCCTACTGTTTCTGAAATATGTATGATTGGTTTTATTTTCATTGATTACGAGTCAGTTATTTTCACACCACTCAACAACTCGAGACACTGTTACATTAGATGTTTCATTTAGAGAATTAATATTCCTCTCTGAAACAACAACTGAGATGTCGTCAGCGAACAGAAAAACTGAGCTGATGTCTATTTGGGGACTTATGTTGTTGATAAATATCAAGAAAAGAATTGGACCGAGGCACTCCTATGACAGTTTGTACTTTTTCGGAGTAGGATACCGAAGATTTGCAATTATTTTTAGATGAGATACCGACTATTTGTGGCACTTGCATCAAGGGCATTTGGTTCCAAGAAGCACAACAGTGGAGAGTTATCATATTTATGGGGTGAGTTTTGTCATGAAGTGTGTGAAGACTGTGGCTCATCGTTTTGAGGTGATCTCCAGTGCTTCAAATCCAATATAAATAACTATTTTCGCACAGGCACCGCTCTGAGAGCGCTGTAAGGATTTTTCTGTAGTACTTGTGTATTGTCCTTCAAAAAGAAATTGTTTGACGAAGTGTCAAATTCCCTTTTCATGACGCATGAATTATTGAATAAAAACACTTCTGTTGAGTATCTTATGAAAGTGACACAATAATTTGAATATGTCCTCAAAAATCAAATCTCTTTTTATCAAATATCCAAAATATAATGTAATGCTACACACTGTATATTTTTCTCGCCCCCTTCTGATAAAGCCACCCTTTGAAAAACCATACTGTATAGCTCTTTCAATTCCATCGTAATAGTGTATTAGGATAAATTATTCATTCATAAATACCTATTCGTTGGCGTTCTCGTGCACCCTGCAACTTGTAGATGAATACCTTAAAAAAGAAACCCACCAATCCCACGAGAATACAAAACAGTAGTACTTCAAAAACCATGTCACATGTAAAATTATGTTCGATTTGTGTGATCGAGAATTGTCTTCTACATTGCAATAGCGCCACTATCATTCCAATGGTGGACAAATCAATCTCGTTTTAATTATTGATTAGATAAGAACGATAAGAATATTCAAATGCCTGATATCGATATGTCGAATCAAACGGTGCTGAACCAAAAATCATCAACCATCCAAGTCCAATGAAGGTTAATGTATATGTTTGAATAAAGTCCTATAATCATATTCCCCAATTTCACCAACACTGGCTCTTGCAGATTGAAAACAGTTAATTCATCTTCAATACGACTATTTCACTTTATCAAACATATTGTTAGAGAAATACAATTTTAGGAGTTTTTGTTTATTCCTACGACCTAGAAAAATCCTTCCGTTTTGTTTCAAATGTTGGACGTGTCCAGTTAGGATTGGAAAGCTACTTGCAACAAGAAAATGGTTTCATAGTACCGACTCTTGATGAAAATGACAAGTAAATTTGGACAACGAGCTAAAATTATGTTTTCATATTTTTTGCGCTTGGACTAAAAACGCATAAAACTTTTAATTCTCGATTTCGGTTCCACACTCAGTTTCATATGGTGATTGTTGTATAAGTTGTTTTAACTTGGATACTATAAAATATTTTTACCACGAACTGAAAATAAAAATGTACAAATCAAAACTTTGTAACCTCCAGCAAATTTACCTTTCAGGTCTAATAAGGCGGATCATGAACTAAACAAAATACTCAGAGACCAGATTCTTCGAAAGTTCTGAATACTTTTCTTTTTGCGCTAGTAACGCTTAACCTTGATGTATTTGAAATTTAAGGGAATAAATATGTTAAAAGTTTGTGGTTTCTATAAATAATTTTCGAAAGAAGAATATAAGCACCATGCAATTTTGAGAGAATTATTGAGGAATTTTGATGCTTTTTCAATTACTTTCAGATAGATAATAAATAGGGTTACCGCACCATTTCAAATTAAGCGCCATTTTCCTCCAATGACATCACATGCATGGCAGCCAAAATATTTGAGATTTCTTAATTGATCGAGCGAGCAGTGTCCATAGTGTTGCATCAACCTTATGACACAACCTTATGACACCCTGAAATATGGTTCTTAAAATACCTCCAACACGGCCTCCAACAACAGTGACAGGATGCCAGAAAGGACCTTATTTAAAGGTGCAATGAGGTTAATGGAAGTATATGTCAATGACATTAAAAGCACAGCTCGCTTGATACGGCTTCAACAGTGAGACTCTACTTCACGCATATAAAATAAGACCATGATTTACTAAGCTATCACCTTAAGACTGCGAGTGGCCGTTGATGGATATCATACTTTCACCATCAACGCTGGAGTTCTCCAGGGATCTATATTGTCTCCAACCTTTTTTTTATTGTATATCAACGACTTATTATTGGAAAAAATCAAGAATCCAACAATTGCTTTACTGACGACAGCACACCTGTCTCGACATTCCATTTGGATTCCAGGACATCAGCTACAGAGGCACATCTTCACCGGCAGCAGGAGGTTGCATATCTTAAT